AATAAAACAATGGGAAATTTTATTAAAAACAAAGTGAAGTTTCAGGAGTACTTCATAAATTTTCTGAAGCCTATTAAATCAGTAAGAATTTTTCTAACAAAATTTTAACTACTGAAATATTTATGAGGAAGTAACAAAAATTGGATATATTTCAGTTTAAAAATATGATGTTTCTTAGATAAAAATCTACCATAGCTTATATATTAAACTCCAGGTTGACTTTATCCATCTGAATAATATTTAAAACAATGAGAACAAGAAAAACGTGATTTTTGTTACAATTAATATAAACTCAGAACTTAATCAAAATGAAGATATTATGCCTCAATGTTGACGGGGGAAAACGCATATTTATTAGTAACATGTACATTTAGATCAGATATTTAAAATAAATTCTGTCATTAGTAATCTGCATAAATTAGATTTGCGATGCTAACTTGAATACTTTAATTCACAAATGTATTTTTTTTTTCCATTTTCGTGCAAGCGAAAATTTTTGTGAAATATAATCTCATCATATTTAAAAAGTTGAATCTCAGTTTTTGAAGCAAAAAAATATTACAATGTAATTTGATGTAGGGAACGTATTTCATGTAGCCAATTTTCCTGTGCTAATAGCAACTTAGTGAAGTCTTAGATCACATCATTAGATCATGCATTGATAGAGAAGTCTTGGATCATTTAAAATCACGTGCGCATTGATGATAAATTTCCCCTTTACTTATCCTTAATAAAATTTCATGATACATTTAAGCGTTTAAATAAATTAATCTCAAAGCTCGTATTTTTAAGTTGAACTCCCTAAAAATGTTTTTAAAGATAATCTTAAACAGCATTTTTAATGTTGGCTTGATTCATTGGTTAAATTTCCACGTGGAGAAAAAAAATTCTGGTAAAATTTCCACAATAGTAGTAAAATTATAAATTGGTAGTAACATTTCTGGTAAAGAACCATAATTCTTCTCTTAAGAACCAAGCTGTATTTAAACCATTCATTTGGTAATTTTTCCGTTCACATAAGACGACTTACCGGAAACTCTAGTTTTCAAAATAAAAGGCGTTATTACTTCACATTTAGTAAAAAATACAAAACAGAAAATTAAATTTATCCTAAAAAATGGTTCCTCTAAGGTATCTTAATAAAATTATCAAATAGATTCCGATAGTTATTTCGTCTCTTATGCGAAATTTTTGTTCGAAGCATATACCAGGAAACTGGTTCGTGATATTTGAGATTCCATTTTTTATAGTGTGTATGTCTGTCTGTAAGAGGCAGCTATTACTATCATAAATCTTTTTTTTTTCTCAGTTTGATTTTGTGACCACTATTGTGTACGTTCTGGCTCCAACCAGTGCTATGCTCGGTCACAAGTGTACATCAGAGCTGTTAAATTGTTATTTTATTCGTAATATAAGCTAATGTCCATATCAATTTTTTTTAAATCTGACCAAAAGCTCTGGAGATAACTGACCGAATCTTGAATTTCTCTTAATTTTAAACACCAGTGTACAATTGAGTGCATAAGAAGAGAAAATAATTTAAATCTTGGATGCACTGTTAAAGTATAAAATTTCAAAAAAATATGTGAAAAAAATTGCAAATATTCTAAAAATTAAATTTTATTCCTGTAGAAGGCTTTAAATCTCAAAAATATTTTGTGGTGTATAAAAATATTTTTTTATAAAAACCGTTATTTTTATTTCTTGTTATGATAAGCTATGAAAATTATCACGTAACAACAATTGAGTATAATTGAAAAAAAATGGTTGATGTATCAGGTGTGCTCTCAAAATGATGGATTTATTTCGTGATTAACAATTATTTTCCCAGAATGAAAAGAAGGACTGAAACAAGTTATCAACCATATCAGTTTAACAGCAATTGAGCATTACACGCATTTCAAGTGCAGAAGTCTTAGTTCATTGCCTACAGGAATGACATAATACCAAAAATTAAGATCCATTGTAGATAATCATTATTTTAGAATAATTGAGCGTTAATGTATCAATTTGTTTTTCTTTCAAAAGTATATTGTTGACAATGGATTGGTAATTATTAATGCTGCACAAAGCATTTACCAAAATCGTCATCCGTGTTGTGATGTCAATTTAGCAAGTTGAATAATAATGACTGATGTGGTTTATGTGAATAAACTTTTTTTTTCTTTTAACCATTAGTTATTTCAGTCCTTTTTAGGAAGTGAGAGTGCACTTTTTGTGAGAGTGCATCATAAACTCAATATAAATGTGACATAAGCTATTTTTAAGTTTTTCTTTCTTTCCAATTTTGTAATTGACAGCACGTATCAAGCATTCGGTTTAAATTGTAGCCTTTTGCATTAATTTAACTGTTCGTAATGTCTAGAATAAAGTGTTAATTTGCTTAAAAACCTATTAATTAATTTATTTGTATTAAATATTTTAGTTTCATGAAGTATTTCAGTAAATACAGGTAGTGTAATTTCTTTTTTTTTCATGGAATCTCACGTAATTTTAGTACTTTTTCTTATAAAACAAATAGATTCAAGTTCGAAAGTAATTACTTTCAAGATCAAGAAAAAAAAATGATAGTTTCTTTAAATGTATATAAATCAATTTATTTGCCTTCAGCATAATATAAACATGTATCTCAGAATGCTTTTTTCGTTGGAATTTCCCATTAATTAATGCTTTTTCTGGCATTCTCTACTTTTACAAATAAAACTAACAATTTTAAAATTGGGCAAAATTTTTAGTTGATTTCACGCCATTTAGGATTAACGGAATATTATTGTAAAATTGCAACTTGGGCTCCAGAGTTACGGTTTCAACGATAATCATTTAGATCCCAAACATTGTATCAAATTTAATTATCCGATATTTAAATTAAAGTCACTGTTCCTAAAATAAGTGAGTTGCATAAGTCGCTTTTGAAAAGCAAACGGATTAATGATGCAAATTTTTCCTACTAATGCTTAATCACATTCAATACAATTTTGGAATCTTTAAAGCAATTGACCGCCAATCAAGGCAAGCATATCACAACTCCTAGCTTTCTCTAGTGGAGCGATTGGTCACATTAAAAACAGTTATACACCGAATAAAAATAGCGAATATTGGCCCATTACTAACCTGATATCAATTGATAACGTTGCAATCATTTTATTACAAATTCTTTAATAGGGGCAACCACATTCGATTGAGTTTTGATTTCTTCTGATGGTGAGGTTAGATGTAAGGCAATCATGCTATGCGCCTAATTAAGATACAGAACATTGGCACACTATTATCCTGGAACAGAAGATCTATTTACCATTACTCATTTTAGTTTCTATAATATGGTGACTATGGTCCTATGATATGGCCCTACATTTCTTTAGGGGGAATTATTTTAAAAGTGTACCTGAAAAAGTTATTGATCTGAAGCAAATTATATTATTGATTTGAGGCAAGAAATCCCTTATAACTTTGCTATCATTGATTGGATGATGTTATTATATGTGAGAGCTTTATTGATTTCCGTTTTAATGTGCTTTATTAATTTGATTGTGAACGTCAATTCTTAATGCAAAAGCGCTTCAATGCCCTTTTAATATTGAACCATAGTATCATTCACAATTGCTACAAACTTAATACGTTGTCAAGTTTAATCATATTATAAGCAGATTAAATTTGATTACACAATTGATTCTGCTGCTCAAATTGAATGGGAAACTGGTCTAAATTGGCTTTTGTATGGTTAAAGTCGTATAGTTGAAATTGTATGGTTAAATTAATAGTTAAAGGTATTATATGGTTAAATTATTATTTTTATTGGTACTTTGGTTCAAAACACCGATAATGTTAATATGATTCAAACTTAAACCAATTTTTCTAAGAATGTTCGAACTTTTTTTTTCTTGTTAAAAAGTTGGCCTACATATTTGAATACTTTAATAAGTATGATAAATTTATTTAATGATTTAGTTTCACTTTAAAATCTGAAATTATTAAGAGACTTTGTTACCATCTAGTCTAACAATAATTTGAGTTCTATTTATAGGCATGTTTAATAAAATGAATACGCTTTACTAACTTATTTATATATTTAATATGCCTCATGCATTTTACTGTTTTTATAATAATTTCCACCGCTGAACTATTTATAGCTTGAATTACTTATCAGGGATTCTTTTTCGTTTTAAAGAAACATGCACTTTTGGCGTTATTATGCCTTAGTTTTACTTCATCCTTATCAGTTTCATGCATCGATTTGCATTTTTAGAACTAGCACGCCTACGGGTATAAATCTTTCGTTTATTGTTATGATTTACGGGGGCTGTAAAAAGTATGCCTCACGCACCCTGATAAATTTATTGTTTCACCTTTTTAAACCCTTTTTTTTATTCAGAAAAAAATTTTTTTTTTGTCTAGAAGAATCTTTTTAGATTGCATAAATTATTATGGAGGTAATGCTTTAGGCATTGTCTTAAAAGAAAGTACAGATTCGTTTTGGAAAGGTTACCCAAAATGTGGTGAGGGTGTCTAATAGGGAAAAGCTTCACTTTTCTTTTATTCATTTATTTATTTATTTTCCATTGTTTGGCTTGCAAGTTTTGTTTGATAATAAATGGGAAAAAAACAATCAAAATTGAAGTTTTAACAATTTCTTTCTAAAACATAACGTAAAAATTCATACATTGATTAAAATATGTAAAAAAAATGCACACAGTAAAAATTCCTGATCAAATTACTGTATGAAGTACAAAATCCATTTTAATCATAAAATATTATATTGTAATTTTTACAGTAATATTTATTTAATTACAGTGGTTCAGTAATTTACTGTAATTATTACTGTAAAAATTAAGGCTTTCAGATTTTTTGTTTCGTAAAATCTCCCGGTAAAATTGATTTTACGGTAAAAAGTCCCAGCACCCTGAGTGCAGGTACTTTTCACCGGAATTTTTTACAGTGTAGAATGAAAATTCATTTGCAAGAGAATACCCAAATTGTGAGTTCTTTGAGAATAAATTATTACATACATGAAATTTTTTTATTAACTGCAACATTACAAAATATCCTCAAGTATGTGAGCAAATAAAGCTGATTAATTTCCTTAAAATAGAGACTGGAAAACATAAACAGGCAATGATTCTCTGAAATCCTGATTTTCCATTTCTTCTATGAATTTGCCATTGAAATCTCAACTTTTCTCTGGAAAAAATTAATTCATAATTATTAAAAGATGAATATAAATAAGCAAACAAATAAAGAATGGGAAAAAAATGTATGTTTCAAATTATTAACGTTGTTTGTGCAGATTCTTAGAATCTTTGTAAAGCTTGAAATTGAAGAAATATGTACATGGGAGTTCGCAAATTAATTTTAAAATTAGAAGCAACACAAACTTTGTCAAAATATGATGAATTATTTTCGAGGTTGATCTAAACAAAGAAGGGAATAGAATAAGCAAAAACAAGTTTAATTGTCAACTCGAACTGAAATGGGTTTGCTTTTTATTATGCAAAAAAGTAAGATTTTTATGAATTAAAAAGATTTTGATGAATTAAATTCATTTTTGTGAGCGTGATCACCCTTGATAATCATTCGTCAAAATAATTCGTTATTTTGACGAAAAAAAGTTAGCTACTCTCTTATTAATTTGTAGTTTAATAAACTAGTTAAATAATATTATCGTGTAAAATAATTGTTCTTAAATTTGATTTCACTATGGCTCAACTCCGCAGCTTGTTCAACTTGAACTAATGAGCATTTCGATTTAATACCGTATTAAGTTTTCAGCACATTTACACACTTTTCAAAGTACCAATACTATGAATCAAAGTTAACCCAATTTTTCTCAAAATGTATTGGTAAATCACATTTTATTTCCTTAATTTCGATTTTTTTTTAACTTTATTTTTATTATCAAAAATTGATGTTACTCCTTCGGTAAATATTTATATTTCAAGGTATTAAAAATAACTATTTTTAAAAGTATTTGAAGAAATTTAAACTTTAGTTGCATGAAATACTGTAAAAAATTTTTTTGTGTATAGTTGCCACTTTGTTTGGTTGCGAGCTTGATGAGCTAAACTAAAATCTTTCATTGTGTATGTAGACACATTTTTCATTTACTTTTTAACTATTATAGTTTTATTTATTAATTCAATTTTTGTTTGTGTTTTTATTGACAACACACATTTTTATGCGCATTAGAATCGATTTTTATGCAGATCATTGCAAAATCATTTCGCTTAAAAAGCAAGTGCATTTTCTGTAATATAATTACACTAATTATTGTTATTTTGTCAATTTTATCGAAATTTTTGAATTATAGTAGCAGTTCTGTACTTTAAAATGTATTTAGCTAACCTCATCAAAAAAATGGTGGCAACTGTACACCAACATTTTTCACAGTGAAGAAAAACTGCTGGGTAACACTAATTTATCGAATAAAACGTTTTAAAAAAAATTTAGAGTAGATGAATCGTTTTTAGATTAGTAAATTTTGGTAACTTAGTAAAATTAGTTTTATTAGAATCAAATAGGATGTCGTATCTAAATACTATTTTTATTGATTTAACTGTAGTTAAAATAAAAGAAACTGATTACCATAGTGTCCAACAGAATTTTACAACCACTTTTAAAGCGTATCTTTACATTTTAGATCGACCAGTAATAAGCAGAATCACGAAAAAAATTTGAAAGATAATTTTCTTGTTTTCCAACCAAAGGCAGATTAAATGTATTTTTTTTTAAATTGATATTTATTATCATTTTTTTATCATCCTTCCAATGATTACTTTTCATCAGTATCAATTATTTTTCTAAAAGTAACTCAAAAATGAGACACAGTATCTTAATCCGTAAGAGGTCCCTAATAAGGTAATTACAAAAGGTTATTATCTAAAAGTACCTCAAGAATACTGAAAGAAAACAATTTGATTGGTTTATGGAAAGACATTAGAGACACAGTATCCAAATCTGTAAGAGGTCTATAATAAGGTTATTACATCTTTATAAAGATCAAGACAGAAACTGGTAAGAAAATAAATTTCATTCTAGCTTAATTTCTTGAAGAATTTCCACACTATAATATTTAAATATTATGTCACTATATGTTTTTTAAAAATTTAATTAGAGTTATGCATTTTATATCAGGACATTTCTGGTTACAATATTCGTCAAAATTTTTATTTGAGTTATAAATTTTAAACAAAATGCATGGTTTTCAACTCATATAAAATTTTAATATTATGTCTCTTTGCAAGACATTACTAACGCATTAGTCACGTTAATATTATGTAACCCTTAAATTTTATGTGGAACTACTGATATAATGATATATTTTGTAAACATCTTTTACAGGTAATCAGTGGAATATTTTGCTGTCATCTTAATTGAGAAATATTCAAGACGTAAATTTTTGGATGATCGAATTTTTTAATTCTTCATGAAATTGCTCTGGTAACAAGAACCGAAGAATTGCAATTGTTTAAGACTCAACAAAGTAGATCGTCTTTTGAAGAAAAAAGAAAAGAAAAAGTTTTTTTCAATTTTAAACCTGTCAAATAACTTAAAAAATAGATTGTCTTTTGAAATAAAAAATAAAAAAAAGTTTTTTTTTTTTTACTTTATTTTAAACCTGTCAAATAACTCAATAAAATGGATAGTCTTTTGAAGAAGAAAAAAATGTTTTTTTCATTTTAAACCCTTTAAATAACTTAACCAAATAGATAGTCTTTTGAATTAAAAAGGGAAAAAAAGGGGTTCTTTTTTATTTTATCTTAAACCTGTCAAATAACTCAATAAAATGGATAGTCTTTTGAAGAAAAAGTTTTTTTTCCATTTTATTTCAAACCAGTGATGCTTAGAGTGTTTCTCTAAAAAATGTTTATTTTGCGTTTTATACATCAAATTTTAAAAAATTGTTTTGCATTAAATTTAATAAGCGAGATATCTGTGAAGTATCTTATTATCATGAAAACAAAGTTATTTTTAGTCGCAAGTCTCTACGTAAAGTTTCCTTCCTGCTTCTTAAACTTTAGTGGATTTTCTAACTTGTTGAAATTTTAAGGTATGTTCCACTGAAATAAAGCAGCCTTGATTGTGCACAGTAACTGGTCAAATGTATATTTAAAAGGAGTAACTTATTTCCTACCCACCTGTACTAATATATATATATATATATATATATAAAAAATAAAAAAAAATTGCAAAATCTTATTGGCGCCTTGATAATTGTAATTGGCAGCGTAGATCATGATATGGNTAAGATATATATATACACTCCATAATAAAGCCAATGCTGTTAATATATACGTCATATTTATTCATGGGTTAGCAATATATGATATTGAATACCATTTACAGATCACTAGAAGACAATAAGACAACGACAGTAATATAGAGCAGTGATGGCTCAGGGGATAGAGCTATCGCCTTTCAATGAGGTGAACCAGATTCGAATCCCAGCAATAGCTGGTCCATACGAATGCCGCATCCGGCTTGCATCAACCACAGTACTGAAGTAAAAATATCCTCAGTGGTGGACGGATCATGGGTTAGAGTCACCTTGAGGTCAGGCTAATCGTGGAAGGTTTTCATGGTTTTCCACTCCATGTAAGGCAAATGTGGGTCAGTTCCATCGAAAAATTCTGAACGGAGGCAAATTTCTCCCAATACTTGATCCAGGAGTTCCCTCGTGTTCTGTATTGGGTTCAAAATTACGAGGCTACGGAGGTGAACATTAGTAGTCGTAAGCCCAAAAAGAATTTTGTCACCTGTTCAACGACGGTTATAAAATAAAATAAAAAAACTATAAAAATAACAGTAATGTAAGCCTTTGATTCTGGCCCTGACTCAACAAGCCTATCATTGGCTTATACAGTCTTACGGAAGTTACGAACGTTTTCTTAGAAAATGAGATCAGAAAAAAGGCGGGTCATTCCATGACATGCACCATATTATCCTAAAGCCCTTTCCAGTGAGGTATTCGCAAAGTTAATGGGAGCATTATGCTGCTGAAAAATCCAACATGGCCAATCAATTCTCTCTGCGAATGGCAATGAATGGTTTTCTAGTATATTTTTTTAATCGGTAGCTTTCATGCGACATTAGAGTAGCTGTACATTAGTAGTAAAGTAACTGCAAATTAGAACAGATTTTTTATGACATGCCAATAAAGCGCAATGCTGTTTAGCCCATGCAAATGTTTTTCTTTTCAACTCATCTTTGCTTGTTGATAGTTTTCAACATTTAAGTCGCAAGTTGCTTGAACCATCAAATCAATAAAAAAAAGTAGACGATGAAAGAATGAATTTCTCCACTCCTGATGGAGGTTCATTAATTGTGAGAAGGCTTTGTCAATGGTGGTAAACTTAATATGTCTATTTCTCCAGATCACACAAAACCTTCCAATTATACGACGCTCATTTAATGCCATTTGACGAGAGAATTGGTTGCCCAAGTTCGTTTTTTCAAATGGACAACGCTTTTATTCGCATTGCAAAATTTTCAGGCGAGTGAATTTTCGATAAGAGGGTGCATGTCATAGCTTATCTTTTCTCCTTATCTCAATCTCACAGAATACGTGCGAGGCTATCTTTAATAAAACAGTATATTTTACAGCAGGCAGCTTCATCTTTCTTCGATGTTACTGCCCTCCGGGGCTAAATAGCAACACCTTGTTGTACCGATTTTTCTTACATCAAAAAAAAAAAACAAAAAAAATTAGTAGCGATAAGGTAATATTTGTTCATTAGAAAATTGCATTACTCCTCATTTTGATTATTACGTTTTGCATAAAAAAATACAAAGTAAACATTGAGCAAAAGTACAACGTTTTCTAGCACTAATTACAAACATGGGCACAGGCTTTACTTATCATCTCTATCTTTAAAAATTCAAGGTAGTTATATTTCTTTGCAACACTGATGTTTTCAACAGAAGATTAAAATGTTATGCTTCATACTATACCCACATTTTTCCAAATTAGGTTTAATTCAGGTACATTTAAAAAGGATATTACAAAAGTAAAATTAAAAAGATTATTTTTTATAAGAAAAACTTTAAACTACTGATGAAAATCAGATTGCTAGCTAGTAATCAGATCATTAAAAATTAATATTTTCCTCTCTCTATCATTATAAACGCACACTAAACTGATATATGAAGTGTGTATTGGTACAGATTCTGCATTCCAATATAAAGCTTAAATTGTTAGACAAAGTTTGATAAAATAATTTTACTTACTACATTTTAATTTTATCGGCTTACAAATTTAGGAACCAGTCTCAGTTTTGGAATGCAATAAGATGAATCCAAATTCATCTATCAGCAATTTTAAATCCCATTTAAATCAAAAATCAAATTTTAAATTAAAAGTTATTCATCACAATTTGTTTGCAATTTTTTTCAAAAATCGGTTTCATTGGTCAATTAACTTGAATTAAAATTTTAAATTACTCAAAACGAATAATACGGTGCATTTTTAATAAAAATTATTCTACATATAAATTGTGCAGTTAGATGAAACATACAACTATGTGATAAACAAAATTTTTCATTGATTCTTTTAGAGATGATTCCATACACTGTTAGGTACGTTAAAACATTTTCAGCCCAATATGATTAAATGTGTTGCAATCTTGCTATAGTAATAAGTTGAATTATATTACCAAACTTCTTAAATTTGATTAAACGATTTTCTGGTTCAACTTGAATACATGGTTTGCGCTATCAAGTTTGAAGCAAATTTTCACACCATTATAGCTCAAAGTACTAGTTTTAAGGTTCAACGCTGAACCAATTTTTCTAAGAGAGAACAAAAATTAATTTTCCAGATGCAACTTCAAACTCATTTTCTAGCTATGAATTCTACCTTAAAATGGTGCTAAGTTGAACCATATTATCGCTCCTCTTTAATTCGATTAGACAATACTAATGTTCCATTTGAACAAGATATGGTTCATTTTAATGAGCTGAATATTAAATTGGTACGAAATTATGACCTGGATGAAGGCCCCAATTTTATGGCTCAGAGTTGAGCCAATATTTCTGAGAATGCACAAAAATTTATTTTTTGCAGGTGAAACTTCAAACTAACTTTTCAAAGATGAATTCCAGCCACGAAATTAAAACTTATGTTTTTTTTTCAACTAATGTTTTAAATAAAATAGTTAATAAAATGCTTAAAAAAATAAAAAAATAAAATAAAAACTTTAATTGAATATTTTTTAAAAATCAAACTTTTCAGCTAATTTGCACAACAAGAAACTGATTAGCGATGTCCATAATTATAAAGCACTAAAAAATAAAACATTTCAACAGCTACTGTTAACGAAGTATGACCGTCAATGAAATATAAGATAAATAAACAAAAGTGAACAAAAATATTTACTTTATGTATGCCTTTCCAAGCGTATGACATAAAATGTCATCAAGCACTAGTGTTTCAATTGTACATATGCTCATCACTTTTCAAAAGTAACTTCCATGATTTACAAATATGGCGTGTCATTTGATCGTGCAAACTACATTTAAGGTTTTATTTATTTATTTATTTCTCGCTTTCCATTTATATGTAAATGGCATTATATCAATGTAGATATAGATTTCTTTGATCACTTGACAGGTCAAGCATGAGGATATGAGTGTATCAAACGTAAGCAGAAGTTAATTTTCAATGAACAAAGCACTTAATATATTTTGGAAGTTAACAATGAATTCAATAGCACGCCGCTTCTGTAATTATCTGATAATTATTTGAGTTTTTAAAAAAAATATTTTTTTTTTATTTTGCTAATTAATCATGAACAATAAAATATCTGTAAAGATGAATTTATAATGATTTGTAGTGTTTTTAAGTACTTTCATACTGTCATTGTTCATTATGTATTGTTCTTAATTTTACTTTATTTTTCATTTATTTATTTTTGGTAATAAATGTAGCTAGAATAATGATGAACTAAAACTTTCTAAAAATGCCGTTGAAAATAAAAGTTTTAATAAAAATCTTGAAAACCGCTTTCGACGCCATTAGAAGCTTTAAATAAATTATATATAAATTGTAATTTATATTTATAACTTTAATAAAAAACAAAGTGATAATTAGAAAGAAAATGTCCTTTATAAATAAATTAATTTGTAAATAAATGTCTGATAAAAGTAAGTAGAAATTTATTAATTTGTAATTATTATCTACAAGAACATCAGAATTGCATTGTGTTGTCAAAAAATTTTTGTTTTATTGATACCGAAGGAACGCCTATTGTCCAAAAGCAAACTGATATATATTTAAGAAATCCTATCAAAGTCAACACTTGTAATTGGCGCATATTTAATATAAAAAGACTCAATGCAAATTTTACAATAATTTATAAGAAATAAAAAAAAATATTATTTCACAAGCAACATGCTCCTAAAAAGAAAAATATCATTCAAAATTCATAAAAATAACTAAGAAAGAAAAAATATTAATAATGCTTTATAAAAAAAATAGAAAACTAAAAATAAAAAAAATGCAT